TTGCAACATAGGGTTAACCCTGGTTCCAGTTGCTCCAGAGGCGATGATATTGAGCCGTAGGAGAAGCTGCACCAACTGTGCCCGCGCTTCTCAAGTACATCACGCGGCAACCGGCAGCGGAAGGCGGTTTGAGGACTATGAAGTGGATTGAGCATTGAGGATTGATTTTTTTCTCATTAGGGGACATATTATCCAAACGTGGTGAACGTCGCTATAGTACAACCCTTATTGGAATTATCCCGGAAGCCTTTCTATCACAGTTTCAGAATCATAGCTCTCAAAAATTTGCTGTACAAATTCATGTAGTGGTAGGACATGAAGCCGATACTACGCTTCCTTCACCTCACCTTGTTCCTTAAGAGGATAGTAGGAATAAAGCAAAAAGTGTGTTTTGTACAACCACCGCTTTTTGTGAAATAGACTTAGGTTATCACAAAATTCGTTCATTCACGCACATACAATTGATTGCTAAAATTTATATGGCGTTGTGGAATGGATTCCTCTTCTTTTTGCAGAGCATCGTCTTTTTATCACAGTTGTAGCCGCAGGGACATCCAGTGCATGGTTCACCTACCCAATAGAGCGGTTTGCCTGGTCTAACGTGCCTGAAGAAGAGTCCTCATTATTTTTCCCACCAACTCTTCAAAGTTACCGACTCACGGCTTATGATAGAAGGCACAGAACAGCATAATATTTCTGGGTAACATAAAGGCTGTTGTTGTTATCAATACGACATAGATCCACAGCACAGCCGACACTTGGCGTCGCTGCCTTGGCCATCTGGAAGCAGACATAAAATGGGCAACAAGTGAGTAGTCATAAGTGTCATAAACGGGAATATGTGACTTTATCCAGTAATGTACTTGTAACTTAAAGGCAGCGATTACGATAAAGAGGGAGCGCATCGGGGAAGCATATGCACCACACGAATCAGTTACTTGGCTGCCAGGGAAGCGAGGTGTAGCGCTTTCACGACGAAAGGTGCGCTGGTTGCTGAGCAGGACTTCGAAAGCACTCCGCCCCAAAAGCGATCCGCCCACTAGTTTAGTTGGTGATTTGGACGAGCTGCGTTGCCAGCAGCGGCACAACTAAAGCAACTCGACTGAGCATGGATTGGCATGCTGTCACCAAACGCGTTGCGCTGAACTCGTTCATACGTCCGCTTTCTG